CATGCTCGTGGCTTATTGTTCTGTTTTTTCCGGATAAATCAAAAAGTCGGAAAAGCACTCACTGATAAAATTTCTGTAGATACGGATTTATCCAAAAAAACACAAAATGTTTAGGTCACGACGGCAAAAAAAGAAGCAAGAAAGACGGCGTTTTACAAATGGATCCCGTAAGACTATGTACGGGTCAGTGGTCCTCGAGAGTGGCCTTTTCAGTTTCCTTTGAAATTTGAGACTACTTACAAAAGGGGGTTTGCCTTTTACCTGATCAAAGTTTGTTCCGGACAACTGGTCATGGTACCTCCGGGTCACTATTGCCGCTGTTTGGGTTTTCAGTTTGCACCATGCTATTTACGCTTCTTAGGGGAACAAGGCGTAGCATACTTATAACTGTGAAAGGTATGTGCCCATAGATGTAAATGGAGGGGGAGGGCAGCCGAAGCTTTCGTGCTTCCTAGCAACTATTGTGGAATACCGCGCATCCGCCCATTCCACATTAAGCACCCATATCTAAATTTCTAAGATCTGAGAAAATATGCACAGTGCATTTATATGTAAAATTGATGACCGGTCAAGCGCCCATTTTTCATTTTTTCGCGATTATCGCTAAATCTTGAGTGGGCACTTGCCCGGTATTTTACGGTATGTTCAAGAGCTTAATTATTTCAGTGTCGACTGTCCTTGAGGCAAAATTTCTTTGCAATATTTGTTGTAGGCTAGCCAGTATTGTCAATGGCAAGGGCGCCAACGTCAAATGTAGCCGCAGAATTATCATTGGATACAAGCGAGCTCCGATGAATTCGGTGTACGTTTGTGTCTGGTTTTTGTTATTTTTTTTTTTTTGAATTTTGAAGAAATTGAAAGAACAGTAAAATTACTGTTCTTTCAATTGTCTGAAATTGCTTTAAATTTCAGACAATCAGCAGTCTAATAAAACTAAACTCTGACAAACCCCAAACTTTAGGCAAAAAAGAAACTTCGGAAAACACTCTCCAAATGTCACGAAAAATGAACTTGGAACACGAAATCTTACTTATCGACCACAGTGATACATCTGCATAACGTTTTTATCCCAATGCATTTCTTAGCAGCTAAAAAGGTGTCATTGGCTGTGTGTGGTGAAGTATTTTGAGTGTCACATTCTCAAAACACATTCTTTTTCTGCTCGAGCTAAGATAGCTTACACGGTAAATGTGAATGCAGGAGGCTGAGTTGAAAGAATACGAGCTTTGATGTGCGTGTTGGTCGGAAAAGGATGGGACTTCAGTGACGGAAGTGCCGCACCATTTGCGCCAAATTACGCCATGACCAAAAATCTGCTACATCTTGTGCCAAAACGCCATTTTTGCTCAGAATTGTGCCACACCCGAGCCAAGATGAGCTTAAAGCAAAAAATAAAAATATTTTATTATTGACCAATCCTAATATTTAGAGAAGTGGAAGAAAAGATAAATGGTACTATATCTATTCACAACGTCTCTGCTCACCATATAGTTTGTTTCATCTAAGCTCAAAACACAGTCAAAGGCTCAAGTGCATACAATCTCGAAAACACATACTAAAAGCGCAAGTCACTGGACATTCGCTGCACTTGATTGGTTTGGCTGACGATAGAACACATACGAGGAGACTATGAATGCCATGATGTCATGCTTTGACACTGTCCCATTGGCTCGTAGAATTGGCTTTAGTATAAATATTGCCCGTCAACCGCTTTGGCGCCAGTTGATTGCCGTCATCGTCTCAATATGTGAGATGTCAGAACCTAAAGGCCCGTTCACACTCTTGCGACCGAGTACAACTGAGAGAGACGAGATCTCTTAAAACTTCTTAAATGTTTTTAGAATGAGGGAACACACTGGCATTGTGGCGCCATCCATGCGGTGACCCTGGAACTGCATTTCACAAGAGTGAAGGTTTTGCGGGATTTCTGAGGTCAAATGTGCATAATACCCATAGAAAGGCTCGTTTATAACATCGACAAAAGTTTTTCGAGCCAAGATAGAAAGGATAATGCGCGAGAAATAAAAAAAAGTATGCCGGACCGCCGAGTTTACACTGCTTTTCAATAGATGGCGCCAGTGTGTTTTCTGGTTTAAGAAGCTTTAAGGAACCCAGGTTTAAGAGGTCGCAAGAGTTTGGACGAGCCTTTAAAGTCGCAAGAAAACTGCAAAATTGTAGGATGGTGGCTACTGCGATAAGACAGAACCAGAGTCTTGTACTCCCGATGAGATTGCTTGATTATCGTGCCTGCCACGTGCCTTCATGTTGTGGCTGCAGGGTACCGTGGCTCCGCTCGCCTCAACCTTCAGCGCACCTCAACAGTGTGCACGCAGGGAGCTTCACCACTTTGCACCGGAGTGCTAGGAGCAGCAGCCGACCTGGGGGAGGGTTAGGGCAGTAGGCACGGAATTGATGCTCAGGATTACTACAGGTTGACCTTTTCTGTCCTAAATGCAAATTAATCTCGCATTAAAAAGAAAAGAGAGAGAAGAAAAATGCGCAGGTTTATATCTAAATAAATACGGCAGTCACTGTAGTTCCCGATGAGCTGGGGGATCGGCGGCCGAGTGGGCTAGCACAAACCGGCTCGGAGCATGTGGAGGGAAAGCTCGGACTGCAGAGCCCAAGGATCCTGGGTTCAATCCCCACCCCTGCCCGTTTTGATCTGGAAGAGCATCGTACCAGCGTGCAGTCGTGCATCATGACTGCGTGATGCACGTCAGAGGGGCGATGCAACAATTTTTGTACTTTGCACAAATGCCGCTTAGAACGGATCTTCGACGTTGATGACCTATGAAACGTGCGTTCGTTTTTCACCCCACGCAATAGAAGTTCCAGAAAAAAAAATTAAAGAAAAACGACCAGCGTTCACCCCCTCAACTCGCAGCCAGAACAAGCGGCCACGTGACCTGGAACCGATTATATGCCGCTTATGTTGATTATAGCCAAGCACTGGGGTTGGCAAAGCACAGGACACGCGCTGAGTTCCGGACATTGTTATGGCTCGACTATCGTCGTTGTTGCAGCGATTGGACACGGGCCACTACCCGAATGCTTCTCGAGCTAGTAATCATCACAAGCCCAAATCGAGTGCCCACGCAATGCTCGGGTCCAATCTATGAACCGCATTCAAATATCGTCATTGGAGTGTACTGCGATTCCCACGTTACGTCATCAAATTTCGCAAAGGGGAGATTGAATGAAAATGATTGCCTTTGTCCTTGAAATTACACCGGAACAAAGGATTTTCTTGGTCAATGGCATTGCGTGCGAGTGTCCTTGAGTCCCACTAGTGCCAGTAAGCGCGTGTAAAGTGAAAAACATTCCAACTGAATATCGTTACACAGCTCTTTTAAAGACCCCTTAAATGAGAAATTTAGCCAGTTGCACTGCACTGGCTAAATTTCTCATCTACTGCTGGAAAACAAGTCGCCTGTTGAGGCAGACTAAGTTCAAGCTGTATAAACATGCCCACACCCCAATTTTTTTTTTTTCCCTTGCAGCTGTTGATTGAAGGATTATTGAACTTTGACTTAGCTCTGGTTCTAACACCACTAAAGAGTGTAGGCTTTCACAATATTTGTGGGTGATTGTTTTTGCAGCTTATGATATCAGAGTCTTGAATTTGATAGGTTCATAAAACTTGGGGGACGCGTTTTTATTGATAAACAAGTAGCGGATACGCCGGTTCTCGCTGGCATTTTACAGAAAATGATAGTTATGGGGATAAATAAACTGCCAAGTGTAAATTGGGGGGGGGGAGAGGCTTTATTCCAACTGAAGGGTTATGCTACGATTTATTTTTTAACCATCTTTTAACACCCATTGTAAGTGGAACCTACTCTGACCATTTTAGAATGGAGGCTCTGTGTTCCTTTTGCATGCTATCTACATTTATCACCAAAAGCAATAAGTAATATGCTCAAGTAGCAGAGAGGAACCATCAGTCATTATCATAGATGTACTTGTTTAGAGATGCAATTACTTTTTTCATATTGAAGTGATGTGCTAACAGCTGTTGGCATCTGCTCGAGAAGCATCAGCAGCTTCTCCAAACCAATAGCCTGCTACAGAACCTGCTACAAAAGAGTAAATGCTGCTTCCATCACTGGGACTTGTTTTTGAAACCTTATTTTGTGCATTGAGGTGGTTTTAGCAGACAATCCACTAGCTCTGGCAGATTGAGTTCTTTTTCTGTTGTGCACAGAGAAGGGTTTATATGCTTGTGGAGTTTCGGATGGAGAATTTTGAAATCTGTCAGACCTCTAGCACACCTTAGAAAACTTTTAGAAGCTCAAAATTTATTGATTAAAAAATTTGGCATACAGGCTACTGTAATGCTTGATATTGAATTCTAGAGAGCACATTCTTTTGAATATAATATACATTTTCACCCCAATATATTTTTTTAATAGGAAATACTGCGAAATTAAGCTCCGAATTCAGGAGAATTGGGAATTGAACAACAATGAACTCAGATAAGCTCAGAATTTCTGGCAAAAAGGAACTCTGAAAATGCTGTCCGAATTTCACGAAGAATAAACTCAGAAAACATGGAATCCAAACTATAAGGCAATGTTGGTGCATCCCTGATAGGAACCGTCCTAATTTCCTTCACAGTTAAGTTAGCACCGAAACATTTTACCGCACCCTTTATCTAGACTAGCAGGCTATCCCGTTTTTAAAAGCTAGGGGTTCGAAAGTTGACCCTCCTAGGTAATGTCCTTGGTCCCAGCACTTGCTTTGATAGCGTGCTCGTGCTGTTGTTTGGTGCTTTTGCACCTTTATTTGTTGGCAGTACGACGAAAAAATTAAGATGCGAAGTGTCATGTCTCGTATCACTTACACTTGACCCGAAGTTTTCATGCGACGTGTTCTACCCGAAGTTTGTGCGACGGCACCTGACCCAATTTTTTTTACGCGACATGTTTTATGCACTTGGCTTCGAAGTGACCCACCCTCAGTGGCCCTTTTGTGAGTTCGACGCGTTTCTGTTGCAGCGAGTGCAGCGAGGCTGGGGATGGCCAGCGGAGGTCAGGATGCACCGCGGGCCATGGGGCCGGGACAGGGCAGCGAGGAGTCCCGCATCTCGGACTTCTACGAGGACCAAGTGGTCTTCCTCACCGGGGGAACAGGGTTTATCGGAAAGGTGCGCCACCCATCCCACGGTCTTCAGAGATGCCTGGCACATCTCTGCGTTTCATCATTCGAGGAACCCCCTCCCCCCTTTCCCAAATTTTTTTTTAATGTACTGGAAGGGGACACTTACGTCACAACATGAACTATCCTCGTAAAACCTGAGAAGAGAAAAGGTTGGTGCGCAATGTGTACTTCGAAAGACATGTTTTGAGTTAGGAGTGATTCCGAAACAGGTTTTTATTTTGAGGCATTACACCCGAAATAAACTCTTGTTTCGGTATGACTCGAATATGTCTCCAAATGTCAATTTTTGAACTTTTCCTTTTTCTTTTTTTGGGGGGAGGAGCTAATTGTGTGACATACCTATCCAGGTACTTAATTTTAGTTGTTGCAAAGTTCAATGTTTTTTTTTAAAGGGCATAGGACGAGGCATTTATGCACCCCCGGGTTTTTATGGTGACGTGACCTTTAAAAGCAGCCCCCTTTACAGGCAAGAAAGGAAAAAAAAAAAGTGTGCGTCTGAAAATTCTGTTTCTTAAATTTGCTGCTCCAGAACCAGCCACCTGGTGCTTCCCCACTCTTCTCATCGGTCACGCGTGATGATGGCGCAAAACTGAATAATTTAGAAGTGACGAGCCGTCTCAGGCTCATTCCTTCTTTTTCATTAATAGAAGTAACGTCTTCATTAATGGAAGTAATAAAATTGGTGAGTCGCTATTTTTACGATGTGAATGTCAACCGCAAATGACTCGTGCCATGCGATTTGTTTTCACCTTGATTTATCAATGTGACGTATAATTAAAGTTGACAAGTGAAGGCAGCTGCAGTTCATTTATCAATTCATGCTCTGTGCAGCATGCTCCTATTCTGTTCTTTATGTTGCAGTTGTTGCCAGACTAGTTTCTGTTGCCAAGATCTGTACAAATGCTGCCAGATGCCACAAAACTACGAAAATTGGAGTTACAGTTCTCTAAAAAGTACAAAGTTGTAAATAAAATATCACAGAAAAAAATTTTCCAGTGGAGTGAATAGGTTTCAGGTGAATGTGTTAGGGATAGTGTTGTAGCCTGGTTTTCAGATGTGGCTTCCATGCTTGAGGTGATGTTTCATATTTTTACACAGATCTTGTTTTGGCTGCCTTTGTAAACTTGAGATTTTCTGCAGTTCCTATTGAGTTTTGCAGTGATTAGATGGCACACTATACCGTGTTTCACCAAACATACGACCAACACTGGTTGCACGGGAAAACTACAAATAGCACAGAAATAACACACTGGGTACCATATTATTGAGGTGCATGGCATTTACATTAACTGTTTAACTATATTTGCTTCACTAACTTTTTGATTAGCAAAAACTAACAGATAGTAAGTTCAAATTAGAAATCTGATGGGTATCGTTGAAAGCCACAAAATCAGTCGATTTCAAAAGGATTTTGAACCACATGTTTTATTTTTCTGGGTCTTGAAGATGCACCCAGCTTCAATGTGCCCACATGTTTTTTTTTTCCTGTACAACCGTCTGCATTTTTGCTTTGCCAGCCTTGTGCCTGTAGGACATGCAGCAACTTTTTGTGTGCCACCATCTGTCCCACATGCCCCAAATCTTCCATTTATTGCTTTCATGGTGTTTGATGACACTCACTAGGTGTCAAGTCGGAGCCACGGTTATTTTTACTAAGCAGAAAGTAAATCATAGAAAATTAATTAACGACTTACCGGTAGTGTTTTAGAACGCTGTGTGCCTCACTAGATTGGCTACTCGTCAGCAACTAAAAGGGCATCAATCTTTTTTCTCTGCGATTCATAGTTTGTTTGCAAGAAAAGTTTATCCAATGCTTTGTGAAACATCCAGTATACAACCACGCACAAGCAAGTCATAAAGTTAGGTTTTTCTAGGATTGTTTTTTAGGGTAATCCTGGATCTTGCGGAGTATGTAATATTCATTGTTGAGAATCCACGTCATGGTTGTTGTTGAAAATGTCTTGTTTCCACATGTACCCTTCTGGTTCGATCAAGAAAATAAAACCTGGTTTTTTGGCCCGCATAAATAAATTACATGTGACAGAAAGCTGAACCAGTGTGAGGATGCGATGCTGGTGGTGGGGACCGAATGCAGAAGTTTGAGATGAGGGCGTTATTTGTATCAAAAGATAGAAAGGAAAAAGGGAAGCCGTTTACAACTCCCTGTAACGCCGAATTAGAATGCAGCTCTTGAGAATGAGGAGGCAAGGGTACTGAGGGTCACGTGTTCTCGGGGGGGGGGGGGGGGGGGGGTCACGGACCCCCCAAAATTATGTGACCCCCCCCCCCCCCCCCCCCCATCCGAGGTCACGCGACCCCCACAGAAATTTTTCCGCTAGATTTAGCGGATAAATTTTTTCGCTAGATTTAGCGGGAAAATTTTTTCGCCAGATTTAGCGGGGAAATTTTTCCGCTAAATCTAGCGGGGACATTTTTCACTAGATTTAGCGGGAAAATTTTTCCGTTAGATTTAGCGGGGAAATTTTTCTGCTAGATTTAGCGGAAAAATTTACCTATAACTCACCGCGCGGTTACGCCGACGGCGACGCCACTCAAGCCAGAAACGAGCACCTAAGAGCTGCCCTCTAAAACAACATTTCTGCATGAACCAACATCAGTGTTCAAAAGCACTTCAAGTGCATTGTACTTAAAGTACTACTTCAAGTAAATTTAGAAAATTTGTACTTTACTTGAAGTACATTCTCTGAGTATGGCCCTCTTTCATTATTGTAAGCTTGAAGTATTTTTTCTTGTACTTTCTGGGGAAAGTACAACTCCCGACTTCAAAGTACATTCCCCAAATTTGGTCTCAGTGAAGCTAAGCTCTTTCACGAATCACGCGCTCTTGACTTCTGAGGTTGGGTATGCAAGTTCACCAACCTTTAAAGTGGCACATAGTCATGTAAAAATGCGCTCTCATCTTTCAAGACGTCATCCGGTCATTTTTTTTTATTTAAGTATTGGTGGCTATAAGACCGTTACAAATATGTGCCTTTTAAGTTGATCGTGTTAAATAGTTCTTAAAAAAAAAAAATCCTAATTTTTGTTTTAAAAAAAAAAACATGCAGTCCTCTTCAGTATCTCCTAGGAAGACCGCATATCAAATATTACGACTTAGTTCTGTCCACATGTTTCTTAAACAGTCCGACAAACTTTGCAACTCGCCGAGTTGCCGAAATCGGCTAACTCGAGCGTTGAGGCGCAAGCAACAGCACAGTCAAGGCTACGGCGTGAGCGTAGCCAACGTTGAGCTAAACGTCATCACCATTGCCCCTTTTGCTTGGTTTTACTTCTCTCGGCAAGTGTAACGGTTAACGTCAACATTTCTTCTCGGAGCGCCTGCGCAGTGCGCTTCTTGGGAGTCGTCGGGCTGTCCCGCCACGGTCCGGCCGTTACTTCTCTCATGTCACAACCGCCGTCGTCTTCTCACTGTTTGTGATTATTGTCTTTTGGAGTATCGTCCACACTATGGGCACTGCATCCGCAGACTTATGCCGCAGTTGTTCAGACGTCATTGAATGTCGTAGACACCAAAACGTGGTGAAGAGTGGGGTGCAGACGACGCTTGTGCCTGGCACATGCCCACACCGATCCCTCCCGATGTTGCGTAGAGAATCACGTGACATCTCGTACCACGTGATAGCCATGTTCTTGGCAGCCTGAGGCCAATGTTGCTGTACGTAGCCGAAGCTTCAGTTTTGATTTCTGCTTGTGTTTAAAATTATATCTGAAAAATATGTATCCCATTTTTCGCGAAGCAGCTGACGTAAAACACGAAGCGATTGACGTAGTGTCTTTTACGAGGGCTTTTTAGTGCGAAATCACTTATGAGTATCCCGAAACCTTAGGAATTGAGTGGAGTTGCCCTTTAAGTGAGAGTAAAACAACTACTCTGTGGCCACTTAACTTTATAGAAAAATTGGCTGCCATTTCCTAAAATAACGGATGCACCCCATTATCTCTAGGGCAACGCATATCAGTGAGAAAAAAAACACTGTATAGGTGATTGGAAGGACATTATGAAAGATTGCGTTAAAATGTACTTGTACGTCACTTTAAAAGTATGCTGTATTTATAGTGCTTTACTTCAAGTACATTGAGCCCGGGGTACTTATTACTTTACTTAAAATGCATAATTTCTTATTTACTTTCTGCTTCAGAAACCTTTTAGATGTACCTTACCAACACTGACCAACATACCTAACCCTAATATTTATTAAATCGAAAATTGAACCTGTGAATGCCTCTTTAGGGTGGACTAGAGACACAGTATAGACCACTTACAACGTAACCGCTTATAGTGCAGAACCGGGTATAACGCGGCTTTTTAAACCACCGGTTCGCCTCCCATAGAACTCTATGTAATTACATACCGCTTAAATGCAGGCGCGCGAAGGGAAATACCGGTTATAGTGCGGTTTCTGGAACAGCCCGCCGATCGGCGCAGCGAGCACGCTTCCCTGTGCGACACTAGATAACGGCGCCTGACGGCGCCACGGCGCCACGGCGCCACGGCGATCAGGGTTGCCAGGTAGTTTCTAGCTCAAACCGCCAAATGCCAGACGGTGTAGCCCAAAAGTAGCCATATTCTGTAGAGCCCAAAAAATTGTGCGCTCAAATGTGCGAGCTCAATTCAAGGCACTGCCTCTGCATACTTGGGTTTATGAGCAGCTTGCAAGATCTACGACATCTTGATGTATTGATTTTTTTGTGTCAAACACAAAAATACTAAACTTTTTTATATGTGGTTTACAGTCACATAGTTATGAAGCACTCGTTCGTGCACGGCTTACTCACCTCATACATGAATTTTGTGTTAAAACGGGCAAAAACTTCTTCAGTAGGGTTTTTGTTACAGCACTCGTTTTTCCCAAGGAAGGCAAACTTTACCTAGAGGACGTTTCGAAGAGCTGGAAGGGACATGTTCTTTCTTAGGCCTGACTTTGTGAGGGAAACGTGGCTGAATACTCTCTCCACGGCGGCATTCGGCATGGGCAGTATCGGGAGCTCAATGCCGAGCTCGGATAGCAACGGAAACAAGGCTGCTCCTGCGCATTACTCTTCGCCATGTTCGGAATTTTCATTTTCCCAAATCAGTTGTCTTTTGTTATGGCTCATTGTGCTTTAAGAAACTTCCATGTTTCACGGAAAAGCCTCCTTTGTTAAATCTGGTACAGCACGGGTTATCGGGCGACATCAAGTTCTTCAGGATGTCTTAAGTTGCCTTTAGTATCATTTTTCCTCGCATGAGGTGCCTCCTGTAGAAGGATGGTGAGAAACTCGAGGATATAAGATGCCAGTAGGAAGCAGAAAGAACTCGGGAGCATAATTAATAAGCCACAATTAATACAAAAGCGATGTCGTCGGAGCTGAATCTCGGTCACAATAGCTCTCTCGTGCTGATAGGTTCTGGCATCACGCCCGCGAATCTTCACGCAGAAAATCCCTGAAAGTGAGAAACCACAAAGGGTGGACTGTAGCTTTGTGTCCATGCTGAAGTTTCTTTTGTACTTTTAATGTAAACTAAGCAATGAAAAAAAAAAAAAAAAAAAAAAAGGGCCGCCTATAGGATTTGAAATAGCCCAAAGATAGCCACATAGCCAACCGCTAAATTTCGACGCCAAATGTATGACAAAGTAGCCCAATTTGGCTATTAATACCCCAACCTGGTAACCCTGACGGCGATGGCTGCAACTGCAAGCGGCACTCGCGGGGCAAGGAGCGAAGAGAGAGGCTTCGGTAGCCATAGCGACGGAGGGATGCACGCACGTGTCGTCCACGTGTGTGCGTCCCTCCGCTGCGCTGGAAACCACGACCAGAGGTGGTCGTGTCGGAAACAACCGCAACGACAGACCAATCGCAGGTCGAGGAGAGGTGTTCGCGCGCGTTGCATGCCGGTCGCGGGCCGGCCGAGCCGGCTTCTATCCGCAAACATGGCGTCGGTTGTGATCGTCGACGTAGACGGCGTTCGTTCCGCATATGCGTTATATGCGGTCTACACTGTATTGTCTTTCCCGCTGACTTTTTTGACTAAAATAAATGCTACAGACACCCCTAATTATAGTTATCGGTTTGATGAATATTATGCTCGGGTAAATGTGGACGCATAGATCATTTTTTTAAAAAATATTTTAATCCAGGTAAAGTCATCTTTTCTAAGTTTTTCATTTTGTCCCAACTGCTAGCTTCAAATTCTCATGGAGCTTCAGCTTTCTGCAATGCATTGTTTATCCGGGCGAAAAAGTCTGGTTTCCTTTTCTCGTCTGGTTTCCTTTCCTCGATCGGGTGCGGAAGCTTTACGATGTTGTAAACAGCCGTAAAAGGACTAACAGTATAAATACACAATTATGAATAAAGAACTTGGCCAGTTCTGTTTGGGGTGTTGCAACCGCAAAAAAACCACATGTTGCAACCGAAAAATCGGACCTCTCAATCTGTTTGCTGGCTCTTGGGAAATTGTGTCCCTTGTCCATGCAGGTGCTGCTGGAGAAGCTGCTGCGGTCGTGCCCTGGGGTCAAGCACGTCTACCTCCTGGTTCGAGGGAAAGGGGGAGAAGAGCCAGGAGCCAGGCTGGAGGCCATGCTCAAATCAAAGGTCTCCTTCCTTCCTGCCCCTCCCGGGAACTTATTAGTCTATACCATTGTCGACGATCAATGAAGCCACATCGGTCGGTCACTTTACTGAGTGCCTTCCAGACATGTCACTAGAAACGAGTAACATTACCCACCCGAAAAGTAACTGAGTATATTACTCATTACTGCAATTCAAACTAAACCTGTTATCTCAGCTTGAAAGTAACACATCATTTTCTCAATACTGCGAATACGTCGTTTTTATGAGGCAGTGGCCAGTTCTAATATTTGTAATTAGTAATTTCTTGCTTTTTAACACGTTCAGTTGGAGATAACTGTGGTTGTACTGACATACTTTGTGCACATTTTCTTATCGTCAGTCTAGCGTTTTCTCGTGCAAATTGCAGGCGCAGGCTGGGCAGGAAACTATGTTCGGTACTTGTACACATTCCTCTCTAAAACTAAGTACTGTAAACAACTCAATTTTCGTAAATTTCGCGAATCGTCCAAAATTTGCAAAAAATAGGTTTTGCGAACAATTCGAGTAAAATGTAAACACATTGGAATTTATATTGAGATCCCACCGCATCGCAAAAATTATAAAAACACAAATTATTAAAAAAAACTTCTAGCTTTTGCCTAAATTGCGAAATATCTAGCCCATGAAGAATAAGTTTGGTTGTGGCATCCCCAAAGTTTGGTTGTGGCATCCCCAAAGATGGCCCACTGTGTGGTTTTCACCATTTATCTCTTCATTTTGGGTGGGCTTTCTTTCGGAACTTACGATAGGTTGTTACTTCGTTACCAAGAAAAGACTAGGCACATGTACCGAATTATGTACAGGTCTGGTGCCTTGTAACTTTTTTCACAAAAAGGCCAGTAGTTTACCAAGACTTAGTGTTGGGCTAGTTGCTGTAAGGTTCTGAGAATACTTGTATGGGCAACCAGAGACAATCACGAGGAAGGGGTAGTGGAGGGTGAATGTGGGGCTTTCCATACGTTTGGCGTGGCTGTTTGCCCGGCCAATTATTTATTAAACCAAGAAACATTTTTTTTTTTTCAAATCCAGAATGCGGCTTTTTGTTGTAACGTAGTAGCAAGGATCATGTGACTGCTTCTGCACTTTGATGGTAGCATGTAAATGGACTTGTATCGTTCACAATTCATGTTTGATTCATTAATTTGAACGAGAGTTTAGGGCTGCTTTTGACCTAATTCTTTTGTTGTACTTCTCGTAAAAATTAAACTGAATTGGCGCAAGAACAGTGGCGTTGCGGCCTACGGAACAGGACCCAGTGACGCAGCTGACTCAATTTTGTGTTATCGTACTGAGCACGATTAAATCAGTCATTGTGGCTGCAGAGGCTTTTCAAGTGACCAAACAGATAGATTCTGGCCGACCAGGTGTGGAACTGGGCGTTGCATTTTTTTTCGCAGTTTGCTCGCGCAAGTTTAGAGACATACACGAAACATAAAGTGTACATACCACGTGATTCCAGGGTAATACATGGGGTGTTTATTTGAGCTTTACATCAAAGAAAGCAGCAAATAGAATTGACGAGTGTGTCGCTGCCTCGAGAGCGTCCGCCCATCACCGCACATTACTCATAAAATGACAAGGGGACGACGATGAGATACGACTCACCTCCTTACCGCAAGATCTAAGTTCAAGGTTCAAACTATCCTCAGGAAATGGGTTCATTAAAAAAAAAAAGGGCTGTGCAAACATATTCATTCAACAAGGCTGATGGTCGTAGGCAGCGAGCGGCAAACCCCTTGCTGGGCCTTCTGACCCACCTTGACTTCCCACCCACTTGGGTGGCCGCTGAAGTCGTTAGGATTGTTGTCGTTACTTCCGGAATGCGTGAATCGAGCGGCCTTCACCGAGAATTGTAGTTTTGAGCACGTAATTTTTTTCGTTTGCTGCTTGAAGTCTGGAAGTGCGTGAAGGGCATGTAGAAGTATGCTTCTTGATCTGCATGGCGAAGAATCCAAGTGGTGTTGGCAGCCATGAAGCTATCATAGGATTCCATCGTAACTTACAAAACTCTGTTTGTTTCGCTTGACATACCGTATTTACTCGCACAATGAACGCACTCGCGTAATGAACGCACCCCCCAAGTCGGCTCTCAAAATTTTGACTTTTTTTTTCACTCGCGTAATAAACGCACCCCCAATTCGGACGTCAAAATTTTGACCGCCTTCCCCCCCCCCCCCCCCCCCCCCCCCGCGCGCGAAATGAACGCACTTTTTTATCCTGGTGCAGCGAGGTCGCGAATGCATGGGCAGCGTGGGCGAACAAAACGCCTTGCAAGATGCGTTAAAACAATTTGCAAAGATCCAACGGAAGCAAGAAAAAAAACATAGAGAGTAGCTTTTTTTTTTTTTTTTTTTTGCACAGCGCAGTCTGGACTTTGGGCTCGCGCGCCGCCGCGCACAAGAGTTAAGAAAGGGAAGCGGAGAAGCGCTCTAAGCGAACGAAACAGCTTGCGAAAGACGGCAAAAAGAAAAAAAAAAAAAAAAAAAAACGGAACTAAGAAAAAAGTAAAAAAAGGAGCTTTTCTTTTTTTCTTTTGCACAGCGCAGTTTGGTTACCGGGGGTCGCGCTCCGCGCGCAAGGAGGTAAGAAAGAGGAGCGGAGAAGCCCTCTAAGCAAACAAAACAGCTTGCGAAAGGTGGCAAAAAAAAAAAAAAAAAACACACCACGGATTTGAGAAACAAACAAAAGTAAAAGAGGAGCTTTTTTTTTTGCACAGCGCAGTTTGGTTACGGGGGGTCGCGCGCCGCGTGCAAGGAGATAAGAAAGCTAAGCGGAGAGCCCTCGCCTAAGCAACGCCTAAGCAAACAAAACAGCTTGCGAAAGGCGGAAAAAAAAAAACCCCAAAAAACTAAAAAAGTTTTTTTTTTTTTTTTTTTTGTGCACTGTTTAGTTTGGTTACGGGGTGGGGCTCAGCGCGCAAAGAGATAAGAAGTTACTTCGATTTTTCAGGGTAAAAGGTCCGTTCGTTATGCAAGTAAATACGGACGCCAAAATTTTAGCGTAATGAACGCCCCCCTCAACTTTGCATCGATTTTTCGTAAAAAAAAGTGCGTTCATTCTGCGAGTAAATACGGTATATGGATTTATTTTTAGGTTTCGTCCTATGCGCGTTATGCATGATAGCAAAGATGAAATACACTTAGCGAGCAGTTTTTGCTGCCGTGCGCTAAAAAGCAAAGCGGTGAAAACACCTGGCCTTCTCGCGTGATACTGGTCATTATGTCACCATTGAACGATTGCAGCGTTCCCATTGGTCCTGCTTGGGGCTAATAGTTCTAGCCATACCATGAGGTCGCCACCACCCTTTCCTCACCCGCGCTTCCCCACTCCGCTGTCTCCAATAGCCGTGTGCCGAGTGAAGACGTGCGAGTAATGGACCTTTTTCCAGTAAGCTTCCGCGCATGCGTACACTCCTGCTGTCGCCATTTTCGCTGGACACAGGGACGCTGTGCCCTCCGAAAATGGCGACAGAAGCATTGTCAGCATCTATCTTCGTGCATATTTAGTCGATTTTGATGCTTTGTTTTTTTTTGTATCGGCAGTATGGGGTATAAAAAGTACTGAAAACCGATACAACAACACGATGCCAATGTGTTTTGACGGGCAGAGGCATGTTGGGCTGCTCTTCTATTGTAGTTTGCAGACAACTCCCCAGACGGCGCTCGTTACTCGAAAAAGGTTCATTGCAGACAACACTGCTTCCTCTCTCCCATTGACGCCATGGTGGTGGTTAACAAATTGCGACTTGACAAATGGCTTCTTAACCGATTTGAAGAAGAGTGTTTTGTGTACCAGAGCCAGCTCAGTGTCACGGTAAACGACAGCGTTAAGGGTTTGAACGTTTTGGAAGCATAACAATTGCCTTTGCATCAAACCCAGATAGGTGTATACAGGGTGTTTTTTTTTTTTTTGACTCTACAGTTTTTTTTTTTTTTACGAAAGCCGTGAAAGCTACATTAATGCGGTCTGCGCAGGGGAGTTATACGGCCAGAGGGACATAATATAAGGGGCTAATCGTCACGAGAAGTCAAACAATTAACTAAAATTTGTTAATTAACTTTTTGTTAGTGAAAATAAACATGGTTCTAATTGGAAACTTTTAGAGCGTCATGAAAATCAGCTAATTTCAGAAAGACTTTGAGCTCATTAGAAGCGCACTGGTGCGCTGAAGTTACCACTCGTGCATCAGGCAGGAGGCTGGGGGTGAGAAAATGTGAAGGGTAAGAGATGGGAAAACCGTGCCGTCCCGGTAGCCTTGCTTTTGCTGCACAAGAGTGGTAACTTTAGTGCTCCATCGTGCTTCCCGTGTGCTCCAAGTCTTTCTAAAATTGACTGATTGAGTGGTTTTCGACGACGCTCAACAAGTTTCTTATTACCATGTGCTTGTTTTTCTTAACCCTAATTAGAAAGTTAATGTGCATAATTGAGTTAATTAGCCGACTTATTGTGAAGGCCGTAAAACTCGCCTTCACAAACCACTTTAGCATAGCTTTCACAACTTTTTCTAAAACAAATCTGTAACGGGTAAGAAAAATTGTAGAGCCCTTCCATTTCACGTGAAGATGGAGGACCAGCGAAGCTGTTATCTTTATGACGTCTAGGAGGACCTGAAGGACAACTTTAAGAACGACCTCAAGACGACGTCAAGGACGACTTCTAGGACAATCTCGAGGATGATGCCTAGGACAACCTCAGGGATTACATTTAGAATGACCTCAAGAATGTCTAGGACGACCTCAAGGACGACTTCTAGGACCACCTCGAGGACGACCTCAAGGACGACTTCTAGAACGACCTTGAGGACAACTTCTAGGATGACGTCGAGGATGACCTCTAGGAGGACGTCTAGGACGACCTCAAGGACGACGTCTAGGACGACTTCGAGGACAAGTTCAAGAACAACCTCGAGGAAGACACCTAGAGAAATTCAGCTGTTTCACTCTGGTGAAGATGGAAGACCAGCGAAGTTGTACTCTCGAGTTTTGTGTTGACACGCTGCTTGTCCACAGACACGATAGTGAGGGGCTGGCCCATAACAGCTTCGCTGTAAAACACCCTGTGTACACAAACTTAACTCTGTTATGTCACGCCGCGGTGGTGGTGCATCGGGCACACTTTTGGTCTGGAGCTGTGTGCAAACGTCGCCATGCAGGGTGTGCATTCCTGCATTGTTTTCAAAGAAACCAGACTAAATCCTGCCTTCTCTTCAAAACATTGTGACTGGGGCTTTACCAAAAGAGCCAGGAAAGGTTGGAAGATCAGTTTTCAGGTATTTTCTGCCTTCCTGGTTCGTCCAAGAATTTGGAAAGGTGCCGTGAAAAGTGAAACCAGACACTGTCCGACCACGATTGCTTGTGCGTAAAGTACTTTGGGTTGAATTCAGCGATACTTGTGGGTGTCAGATTTATTTGTTCTCTTCCAACATTAACGCGGGAAAACTTCCAAGTTGTACTGACCTCCTGCAGACTACGTTCAGTGCGTCTTCAAGTTTAAACGGCCGCCTGATCGTTTAAACTGTCATCTGCTCTTTCAAACTCGTTCAGATCAGCTTTTTCAAACGACAGCGGCCAGTGGACCAAACGTTGCGATAAGTAGGTCCAGGCATTTTTAAGTTTGAAGGTTGTTTGGGGTAAGTTGGCTTGGTATAAACAGTAGATACAAGAAGGTGTTGATAATTGTTACCAGTTGCGATCACCGACTTGTTATGCCTAATTCACTTCGTCCGATTCTGCTTGCGATAGGCAATGTCGACATCAAGCATCGCAGCTACCTTACATACTTCTGCAACCCGAGCAACCTCGCGACTGAAAATAGCGAGCAGAATCTCATCATGTAAATCAGGCTTTAGCGTCCATTCTGTAGTGTTCACATGGAATCAATCGTTGCTCGTCGCATTATTTACACAAAGTTTAGCGGTGTAACGAGCCTTCCTAACTCCTAGCTCTCAGGCCACTAAAGTAGTAAGACATATTGCTAGAAGACATAGAATCGACAATTTCAACTTGGAAGGAGTTTGGGGATGCACACTGATGCAGACAACATCACATTCCAATGGTTTGTTGATGCACTAGGGGTGCTCTGGTTGGTTTGTATAGCGCGAAATACATTCTGCACACGCTGCATTTGGGCAAGAGATTGTGGGAGCGCCTTAAAAGGCTACGGAAAAGAAAAAAAAGATTTTTTTTTTTTTAACAGTCTGGTTGGGACATTCGTGTCAAGAAATAAACTTCACGGGTAAAAAATTTTTTTGTTGAGCAATATTGATGGTGCAAGACGTGATTTAGTCGTTAGTTGCCTCCTTTCCACTTGGTTTCTCTCTCGGCATTTTGGGTGTGTGGAGGAGAGGTGGATTGGCTTGGCCATCACGTCGAGGTGGAGGAAGGGTGTTACCATCTCGTTGAGATGGAATGAGTGTGTGACCATTCCGTGACTATATGGACTTTGCACGCAGAATTTGAAATAAATCTCGCACCGTCAATATTGCTCTAAAATTATTTTTTTTTTGCATAAAATTAATTTTTTGACATGCGTGTCCCATCCAGACTGTTTAAAAAAGATTTTTTGTTTTCTTTTTAGTGGCCCTTTAAGTGTTTTTACTTTGGCTTGCTAGTGCTTGCCTTAAACAATTGATGCTTGTAAATCGTAGAAAGGGAATCGATTATCATATACTAGCACCTTCCTCTATCTTTTTAAAGCACCCCTGCCCCTTGATGATACAAAGAAAGGCAATGGATGATTCACATATTCAAAAATCAATTGAAGCTAGTGCCAGGAAAAAAAAAACTTTTCCTTTTTTTTTTTTCCAAGAAAGAGAGAATGTTTTGGAAAACGGCCACTTGGCATACTTAGCACTAGCCTTCTGAATCCCACTGGCTCCTCTCCCTCCCAGTTTGAGTGGCAATGCCACAGGCTTTAACAGTGCGGGGAAGGCTAATCCTCGAGAGAGCTCAGAGTCTGAGCAAATCAGTCGAACGAACGTGTGGTGTCTGCTCGGGGTTGCAGGTTTTTGACCGGCTCAAGCGGGAGCGCCCGGGTGCCCTGGAGCGGGTGAGTCCCGTTAGGGGCGACCTGACTCAGCCCAACCTCGGCCTCAGCTCGGCCGACCAGGCGACGCTGCTAGACCGGGTGTCGGTCGTCTTCCACTCCGCCGCAACTGTCAAGTTCGACGAGCCCCTCAAGTGAGTTTGAGAGCCATTCAAGTGAGTTTACCAAGCCCTCAAGTGGGTTTGGGGAGTATGACAAGCCCTTCAAGTGAGTTTAGTGAGTTAGCACCTCAAGTGAGCTCAAGAGCTTCTCAAGTAAGTGAATGGCAAGCCTTTCAAGTGCATTAAGTAAGTTCAACAAGCCCCTCATTTCAGTCTTACGAGCTCCTTTAGTGAGTTTACCAAGTACCTCAAGTGAGCTTGGTGGGTCTGACAAGATCCTCAAGTGAGTTATAGAGACCCCTTAGGTGAAATTGAAGCCCCTCAAATGAGTTCAGTGAACCTGATGGGGGCCCTCAAGTGAGTTTTGCGAGCCTTGAGTGAATTTAACGAGCCCTCAAGTGAGTTCAGTGAGTCTGACAATCCCCTCAAGTGAGTTTAAGAAAGGCCTCAAGTGAGTTGGAAAGCTCCTCAAATAAGTTTAGTGGGTGGAAAACACTCCATGTGCATTTAATAAGTTTAACAAGCCTCCCATTTGAGCCTTGCAAGCCCCTTCAGTGAGTTTAACAAACTCCTCAAGTGAGTTTAATGAGCCTGACAAGACCTTCAAGTGAGCTTGATGAGCCCCCCAAGCGATTTTGACAAGCTCATCAAATGAGTTTAATGATCCCTCAAGTGAGTTTAGTGAGCAAGAAGTTTCTCTCATGGGTCTAGTGAGTTTAACAAGTCTTTCAAGTGAGTTTAGCGAGTTTGAGGGCCAATCAAATGAGTTTAGTGAATCTGACGAGCCCCTCAAGTGAGTTTAGGGAATGTGACGAGCCCCTTGTGTGATTTCAGTTGTTGAGCTCCCTGAAGCGAGCTTTGCGAATTCAAGGGGCAACTCCAGTCAAATTTTGATGTCGAGAACAATATACAGTCCTACGTCCTATCATCTCAAAAGCCTACACGTAAAATATTTATAATGTTTCAGGCAAAAATATAGATGGAAATCAGGCTGGAAAGCATCACAAGTTGTCACAGGCAGTTATTTAGCCAGTCTGCCTGTGAACGTAGATTTCGTCACTATTCTTGCCCTGGACTAGCACCGTAATCACAAAGTCACTAAACGCTTGTGCTTGATTGAGATACACTGCATTCGGTGCGGAGCGTAGCTTTCTTACTGCTCTGGACAGTGACAATAAATTTGAGGGATGTATTTTCGCCCACAAAATTGTATTTAATTACAATTGTATTTGAAATACCCACGTTTTAGTATTTAAATACACATGTTAAATACATTACCCAATTTGTAATTAAATACAAATGTAAAATACACAAAGTATTTGAAATACGTATTTCAAATACTTGTATTTGAAATACTGCCCATCCCTGGCGACACGCAACGAAAATTCACACTCAAGGATAGCGCTTTTACGCGGAGCGAACGCTGTCTACGTCAACGATCACAACCAAAAAAAAAAAAAAAGAAACAGTTGCAGTTTCACTGCCTGCCACTCGATGAATCACGTTGTCAAAGAATTCAACTATTTTTCTCTATTTTGGAGTTTTCGTGAGGGATCGCATCCGGTTGTCGGTCGCCCCTTGCCCCGCGGGTTGAGCGGGAGAGCTGGGGCCATCGGCTCGTGCTGTTTCGCGGCCCCCCGCTAATTGGGAACCGCGGGAGAGGTCCCCTCTCGAGGAGGGTGCAGCGGAATGCTTTGTCCCCAACTCGGGCGATTTCTTCTTTTTTTGTTGCTGTTGTTTTGATAAGGAAAGAAATGGGAAAGTGAGAACCTCGGCTTGGTTTCGAGCCGAGTCAAGTCGGTGTATGCCGAGACTGGACCGGTGGGTGGACGCGACGCGAAAGTTGGGAGCGACAGCGGGTGCGGCGGAAGGCAGAACGCGGGAAGAGATCGGAGCGGCTCTGCAGGCCCCCAAGTGTGTGTGCTCATGGATGAGTGTGGTGCCGAGGAGCATCGCCCGCAGCATCCAAGCACACACAGTCTTCCTTGTTTCGACCAGCATTGCAACGGGCCCGCGTCACCCACACCCGCAACATATCTAATTGAATTTCGCTCACCTGCGATGTGTCCATAGCTATCGCGGCGATGAGAGGCGCCGATTCAGAAAATACCTCGGTGACATTAGCGCAGTAAAACCTACCGGCACACCCCCTACTCGCCGCCGCTAACTGCCGCTAACGCTCTCATTCTCCTACTGCCGAGAGAACTTCCGGTTCCTGTGCCAGAGTACGTCACGATCGTCAAAATTACGCCGCAGCTTGTTTCGCAGTCAGTTGGAGAGAAAGGAAAAGTCAATATTTCATTAATTTTTTGTGTAGAAGTCAATAGACCGAAACGAAAATGGATGCCTGTTTGGCATTCAGTGAACATTGAAGGTTTAATGTAAAAGTTATTTGGCAAATGTAAGAAGGTCATTTCAAGGTCCCTTCAAATGAGGTTTGCAAGAAAGCTATTTAACTTTTCGGAAGATGACTGACATAGAGCCATCGATAAGTAGTTTTGACATGATAATCACCCGCAATCCCAAAATCTTTATAATTTACTGGAGATGCCCTTTAATGAGCCCCTCGAGTTAGTTTCTGTAATATTGGCGCTTCCCATGGGGTCAGGTTTTGCACCCCTGGCTTAAATGGGAACAAATGCGTGGCATAAACTGCTAGTCATGTTAAAGGCTGCTATACAAAGTTTTAGCTTTGTACATTCTGAAAAAAAGGTTATGGTAGTTTTTATCAGGGGCTTGCCGACATTGCTTAGCCAATATATCACTAAATGGCAAATGCGGCACCCAACATTTCTTTTTGGCTAGATACAAAGAAGAATGCTGGGAGAAAGTGCCGTTGAATAGGTTTCTGGAAAAATGTATGTCTCAAAAAAGATTCAGCAAATTAAATAAATGTTGTGGCATTCTGTATCTTAGACAAAATCTTGACATTTGTTTTGCCAAGCATACCTATAAGGTAAAGAAGCAACTCATAGCCACATTCCTTTTAAAATTTCAGTTTGGGAAGAGGAGACGTTGCCCTTTTGTAACAAAATATTACTCAATTTTTTTATTTTTTTTTGGGGGGGGGGGGAATTTTTTATGTGACGTGTTTGTGCATGTACCCAGGCACCTAAAAAGGACATTTTTTTTAGAGTTTGGTATTTTTTTTAATATGGCATGCCAGAGATGGGCAGTATTTCAAATAAAAGTATTTGAAATGCACATTTCAAATACTTTGTGTATTTTGTATTTGTATTTAATTACAAAATTGGGTAATGTATTTGACGTGTGTATTTAAATACTAAAACGTGGGTATTTCAAATACAATTGTAAGTAAATACAATTTTGTGGGCGAAAATACATGCCTCAGATTTATTGTCACTGTCCAGAGCAAGAAGAAAACTATGTTCTGCACCGAATGCAGTGTCTCTTAATCAAGCACAAGCGTTTAGTGACTTTGTGATTACGGTGCTAGTCCAGGGCAAGAATAGCGACGAAATCAACGTTCACAGGCAGACTGGCTAAATAAGTGGCTGTGACTACTTGTGATGCTTTCCAGCCTGATTTCCATCCATAATTTTGCCTGGAACATTCTAAATGCGCTGGTCGTCCAGATTTTCATAACTGGTGAGAGTTGCAACAATAAAACATTCTCTAGCTAGTGCTGCGTGTTTTGGTCGTCTCGGTTTTTTGTTGGTTTATATTAAAATGTAATCGACAAAAAAAGCCCCTTGAAGCTGTGTACTTATTTCACCTATTACGTCCAAGATGATTACATTTTTTTGTGATTATATTTCTATTACATTACTAGAGCCTCGTGCACTAACTCCCGAGTGTGCGATGCAAAATTAAAATGCGATACCCAGAAACCCGTTGCAGGTGCTCTGAAGTCGCTGACGCAAATTTTGAGGAATGTATTTGGAAAAGTATTTGGAGAAGACCAAATACATTTGCTTGTATTTGTATCTTGTACTTAAATGCTTTTTTAGAAATGTAATTAGATTTATAATTAAATACATTTTTGACAAAGTATTTTGTATTTGTATTTCGATTAAATATTTGCATGTATTTTGCCCATCCCTGGGGCATGCCAACCACTGGCTTCCAATGCATTCTCTATGGGAGGGGTTCTCAAACCTTTTCGTCCCAGGGAGCGCCAGCAAGCCTAAAAGAGTCCCAAGAAACACCCCCTTCCCCCCTCCCTTTCCCCCTTGTTGCCAACTGATCATACTGGGCAATAAAGGTGTTTAGATAGTGAACAAGAGTTTATTGCACTGACAGAATAAGACAGAACGGAGAACCACAGACAGAATAAGAAGGCAGAAGGGTTAACCTGTGGCACAATGTAAAATATATTGCTTTGTTGCTTTGTCCGCCACAGCAACTCTATGCATGGCTCAGTCCGTGGAAGGTTAAAGTAGGGGGTAGGGGGGGCATCGCAATCGGGGTGCTTGCGGTACCCTTGAGATCAGCTCGTGGAACCCCTGTATTCCGCTGAACCCAGTTTGATTATGGCATGGGTTCTTAAAATGGCTTCCTAGGAACCCGGGGCTTTTCGGAGTACCCTCACAAGTTGCTCGCCCCCCTGCCGACTTGCTGTTTGGGTGCCTGCTGGCACCCAAACAGCAAGTCGGCAGGAGGGCGAGGAGAACAGTGGGCATGTCCTGTTGAGCGAAACAAATTCTATATCGTTGTGCTAGAACGCATCCAAGCAGTGCGAAGGGCGAGTCGTCTGCTTCTTGCACAAGAAATGCGGTGACTTTAGAACGTCGCCGAGCTCCGATTGGTTTTGATTGAAATAATAGTGGGTAGACCTTAATGCTAAGAGCCTTGAGGTATACCCACTATTTGTTTTAATCAGCCAATAAGACCTCGGCGTTTTGACGTTACGCAACCCCTGCACAAGAAGCAGACCAACCTGCGCTCCGCACTGACCTAAGGAAAACCTTCCGTTTTAGGGTCTTACTTGCTAGTTTTGTTAGTCAATTTTTTTTTTATTAAACTCCTAAACAAGCTTTCTTGTTCCTTTTTAGTCCGTGATGCCTGTTTTAGTAAGGGTCAATTAAGTATGTATGTATGAGCAGGAATGGTATAGGTGGTATCATAAAATGTTCAATATTTAGCATTTGTACTTTTATCAGATAGAGTAGATTTGTTCTCTGTTGAGTATTGGAATACTTTCGATTTGTACTCTGTTGAGTAATGGAATAGTTTTGGTTGCTAAACAGGGGCTAGAGATATTTGTATTTCCTAATAATGAGCGGTAGTCAAGTACATATTAGACTTTATTTCATACCATACTATTGCAGCTTGAAATAGTTTTGTTTTTAACGTATGGAACGTGCGATTTAGGTTGTTAAACAGTGAAAATGTCTTGTTTTCATGAGAGTTGTTTTAGTTTAGTTGCCTACGCCTCCTATTGTAAATCCATGGGAGGGACCAACCCGCTATCATTAGGGCACTTCTCAAGGGCAGCCATTCAAATATCTTTTTTTGCTATGGGCTGGAATATATTTAAGGAAAGGTCATGTTTGGAAATGGTTCTGAGACGTCACATGAAGATGCTTTTTTGTTTATATTTCTTTTTGTATTTCGAAAAACACATCTGTGCTTACAGCACTGAGTTTGACTCGGGTTACCAGCTCCAAGATTTGCTTCTACTGCTACGAAACTCGATTTTTGTTACTTTTGAGCTGCTCTAAAGCTGAACTTTTACTGCTCTAAAGCTACTCCAAAGGGGCATCTTTGCTGCTTCCACACCTGCTCCAAATGGCTGAAGCTTGCTTCCACCCCTGCTGATATTTTTTTACTTCTTTTTGACACTCATGAAAAGGACAGTGTCGCAAAAAGAGCAGAAAGGAATGTTGTAGAGCTCTGTAATTAATGTTTTTGCTATTTGTAGTCACTGCATTTTTTCTTGTGTTCATTTGTTAGAAATAAAGGCAGAGGTATCCCCAATCCTCATTTTTATTAACTAAATTGAATTGAATGTTCGGCTCAATGGTCAGTATCAGTGCTGTTGTTTCATTCATCGCATTATGGAGTGTACGGTGCATGCAAGCATAACATGGCACATGTGGAAAACGGAAAAGTTTGAAATTTGTACCTTTCTGGTTTCATTGCAGACGAGCCGTGCAACTGAACGTCCTGGGCACAAGACGCGTGTTGGACCTTTGCAAACATATGCCAAACCTTCGTGTAAGCTTGGCCTTTTTTTGCTTTGCTTTGATTGAGGTCTTTGATTTACGGTGCTCTGACTTGTGTCTTAGGCGGGGATGTTGCAGACCTTTGTCGAACCTCGGGGTACTGCTGGTTTTAGCGAACCTTTGAACTTTTGGCAATACAATTAAAACGAGATTTTACAAAACCCAATTTTATGAAATTTGCTATTTAACGAACTGATCCCAATTTCCCAGAGATTCCTACGGGGCTCCATGCTTCCGTGAACTTGAAATTACTAAATAAATTTGACCATCAAGCCGATTATTGAAGCACATTGCTCGAAAGGAAAACTGTAAAAAGGTTTCATTTTAAATTAATTTTGTTTAGAATGCCTTAAAATTTGTTGCTGGCGTGCCATCAATAAGATTGTGCAACCCTAATTTTTTTTTTACGAGAAAACAAACTCGGCACTTTGGGCTTCTATTCGATTACAATTGTTTCGTGATGTTTCATTATGTCGCATGTGACAGATGACGCTGATGGAGTTTGCGGCTGTTCGGTTTCGGTTACGTTCGATAGTTCGGTGGCAGTTTGCCCAGCCTAAGGAGGGGGGTTGCAGCGGATGCGAACAGCAGTACATCGCCAAGACAAGATCCAAGAATGACAGAGAGGTCGTCCAGTGCAAGCTTCCTACGTACTTGACACTTTCGTGTACCGTGATCATCTAGCATGCACACACAACCAATGTGCAACTTAACATGAGTGCATGCTGGATGCTGGGCATCAGAAATAAGTGACAAAGCCGTCCACTCGTCCTCTCAGTGAGTTCTGTGTCACCATGAAAGAAAGAACCTGAAGAAAATTCAGAAATCGGTCGTTCTTGCATCAATAAGGGTACTGTATTCAACCGAAAATAGGTCGACCCCTATTTATTGAACTCAACGAGAATTAAAAAAAAAATAATAATTCAAATATAGGTCGACCTTTCTTTTTTCTTTTTCTCTAAGAACAGGGCAATGTTTGGGCAAAAGAAAGCAACAAACCTTTATTTACAGCAGTCTCAGCTAAATCACAGGGCGATTCCCAAAACTTAATCATCGTCAGAACTTCCAGACATGTCATCGTGGTCCGTAGCTTCAACAGCTTGGTAGGCCTCCTCACAAATTCGCAACAGTACCTCACTGAACCGTTGTAAAATGACGACAAGAAGAAACGAAAGAAGGTGGAGATGGGCAAAGCAACGAAAGTTTAAATACAAAGACGCGACAATGCCGCGAGTCGCCGTAAGCAACAAACCAAAATAACCTTCTCCGGTTTTTTTTTTTTTTTGTGCGTTTGCGAGGGACAGGGATGGAGGGCAAAGTGCATGGTGCATTGCGTTCCTCGGCCGGGTATTGATAGCCCACAAAAGCAGACAGCATCCCAATAGACCTTTTTCTAATTTACCCAAGCACCGAGGAGAACGCTGAAAGTGTAATTCTACGGTCCGCACGCGCTAGCCTTCCTTTTATAAAAGATTCGAAGTAAATAATCATAATAAGGCTTTGACGAACGCGCGTGCATGGCAAAATTTGTTTTAGACTTTTTGCTTTAGAACATTTACTACTGCAGACGCCAGCACATGCAACGCGTGTAACTACACTTGTAGCATGCACCTCAGTGCTTGGGAAATTTCGAAAATGGTCTATTGGGATGCTGTCTGCTTTTGTGGGCTATAAATACCCGGACGATTGAGTCAATGCAATCCGCTTTCCAAAGACGTTGCCATGGCGACAATTCCCACGTTCATTTAGGCTTAGGAGTGGCCGAAATCGAAATACTATATAAAAAATGTGGCAAGGTCATTGCTCATGCCTTTTTCGATTTAAGTGAGGTAAGGCAAAGCGAAAGCCTCCTGCACCATTCGTTGCTGACTAACGCGCCCAATATTGCAGCTACTACGACATATTAGTTTTAAAGCGAGCAGCGCTCACTCACCGGTGCTTCGCCATCTTTCCCCGCATCCGTACCAAGGCAGTCACGTAATTTAAAAATCCCTCTCCTAGGTACTGCGGCTAACTTTAGCCATGGTTAGCGCTTCGAGCAAACAGGCCCTGGTGGCGAACAACCCACAAATGACTGGCGAGCCCAAGGTTGCCACATCATACACGTCAGTCGCCTCAAGCCCTTCACTCGTCGCGACAGCAACTTTGAACTTACTGGACCCAACCCTTCGGCCCGGATGGCCTTCTCTGTCTAGGGAGCGTCGCGGTGATGGAGTGGCGCACTCAAAACGGCGCGTGTTTGGCCTCGACGAAGCTCGTGTTAAGAATCTAACCTCCGTGATCTCAGGAACCATGGACTTCGCTTGCTGCTTCTCTAGCGGAAACACCCCACCCCAATATTAACGAGAAAGGCTGTCGGTGTGACGACACGTCACCGCAATCTACGGGTGGCTCATTCAAAGGGGCTTAAAAATTTAAAGCCAGAAGTGCGTCGCATGGAGCTGCCTCATAGTGAGGGCTATTTCCGTTGCATACATGCACCCCTTGGGGTGAGATGTCCAAAAACAGGATTGCATCTTTTTGTGATGAGTTTCTCTTCACCGGTAGAAATCCCCAAGCCCCCGCAGTGCGACTTCTTGGCTCAGCGAGTATATTGACTGGAAGTCGGCTCACAGGGAAATCTTGTTTTTTTATTTTACGTTCTGATGCAGGCAACGTCACATTCCTGAACTTCCACGCTACCGCTAGTGCCACGTCCGTGGGAAGTTTCGGCTTTCTGTGAGGCGTAACTTATTTGTGCTGGACGAAAACGGGGTTTCATTTTTTCTATCGGATCCCGTATGCTTCCAATACCAAAGTGCTTTTTAGTGTACTTCTTTCTTACCAGCCCGCTGCGCACGAGCGTCTGCTCTGCTGTTGCCGCCACCTAGTCCGTCCGCTGACGCGTGCACACTCAATGTTTGTGGTAATATATTTTTAGTAAGCTCCGAATGTACCTTAAGTGCACTTTTTGGTTTCACATCTTGGTGGAGAATGCTGTTTAGGCCGTATTAACAGTTACGACGTAGGGGGAACGGTAGAACTCTTGCCGATGGCCTGCTCTTCTGGCGGTCCAAAACGTGGCTGCATAGGTCCGCGACTGCAGTTACTCCACACACCATTCTTCGGTGGCCATGGCGGGTCACATGCTACTGCTGTTTCAGTTGTTTTCGTGCACCACAAGCTTTCTGAAACAAGAAGCAGTGCTGTGCTACTGCGACAATGTCGGCTCGGTGATTCGACAGCCACATTCGTCACAATGTATGTCGAAATTTTCTGGTCATTCTTAAATTTTGACAACATTTTCGAAAAAAAGAAAAAAAAGACGTACAGTCGCCGATTGATTATTCGGATTTTGCAGGGACCAAAATGTCCCAATAATAGAGCAGTCCGAAAAAATTACCGCATCTCCACGTGGCGAATGATGTTGATTGGGGCGAAGCTCTGGTGGTGCTTGTCTGCGTAGACGCTGAACCGCAGCATGCCGAGCCTTTCGTTCGTTTTCATCCCTGTCGGGAAGAGAATGTGTGGTATGGAACGTGGTTATATATGCATTTGAGCATTTGACCGCAGCGCCCTCTCGTCTATAAACGTTGAGCCAATGCATGCAAAGTTTAAAGCGATTATATATGCATTTGACCGCAGCGCCCTCTCGTGTATAGACGTTGAGCGGCTACATGCAACGTTTCACACATTACATCCCCAGCTCTTGAGTTACTACCACATCTCAGAGCCCCCTACTCGTCCCGCAGTCGTGGCCGAGTGGTTAAGGCGATGGACTAGAAATCCATTGGGGTCTCCCTGCACAGGTTAGAATCCTGTCGAATGCGCAAACTTTTTTTTCTTCTTTTTTTAAGAAGACAGATGGGATGGCTATCGATGTGAGCACGGACGCCGGACGGACAAGGCTAGACCCTAAGGAGCTTCGCCCCTAAAATCAGCAGATTGAAAAACTTGCTTTTATTACTTCCAAGTGGGCTTAAAAAAGCCGTAAATAGTGCCTTGCTTCAGGATACGCCTGCGTACCTTGTTTTAGGTTACGCCTCCGTTTGCGTTCGGCCACTTTCTGCAAGCTTGAGAATTGCTGCCTTCTTTTCTAGCGTTATGGTTGAGTACTTTCTGCGCTTCTTAACAACACCTTGCTGCAACAGAAGAATAGATCGGGCCATGACGTCCAAGCCAGCGTTGTCCAAACGAGATGAGAGGCACAAATCTACGAGCGCAAAATGGTGACTGGCGACGCAAAAATTGGGCGGAGGCGCGAAGGGATGGAATAAAACAAAGCGAAATGAAAATGATGATGATGATGATGTGCAGCTAAATGGAAAAAAAAGGGCTAGCATAGCGTCACCTAGCGGTAGGACTCAGGAGTACTCAAGTAGCGCTGCCAAACCAAGCCAAACCATTTGCAGCCAACATAGAATTCAAAAGGGCCGCTTCTCGGTAGTGTTTCCCGCTGATTGCTTGCGACGATTTTGTCCGAATAATTGAACTTTCAGACTTCAATCTGTCCGAAACATTGGTCGTGAATATGCACTATTTCTATGGGGTATGCCACGGTTCCTCCTTTAGGTCCGAAATATCGAACAAGTCCAAATTATCAGAGTCCAAAAAACAGTCGGCGACGGTAGAATTATATTCGAATAAATATGATAATACGTAAAATTCTTGGTAGGTCCAAAAAAAAAAAAGCTCGATGTACACCTAAGCACTTCTTATGAATTGCGAATGCGAAAGCAGAGAAGCCCCTCTGACGATGTGGATGCTAGAGGTGGTACCATGTTCATCGGTGGCGAGACGAGCAGAAGCCTCCGAGTGCGCGCCAACGTGTCCGTTTTAACCCGCGATGGGGCCCGTAGTGGCATGGGGTTGCGGTGGTTAGTTTTATGGGCGCGCAGACGGCACGGACACGCACGCCATCTGGCGGATGGGAGCCTCGTCGCCGCACGCCAGCCAATGTGACTTTTGGAATTAGGGAAACTAGGTGCCATTTTTGCGTTTCAAACTGATGACATCGGCTCCCTCCATGAGACAGTAAATGCTTTCGCATTAAAATTTTTCTTTTGACAATCTGATACTTTTTGTATATGTTTTGAGGCACGCAAAGTATTCATTCCGAACTGAATTATCGTTCAGTGGTTTCGCTCTTTTATAAAATCGCTTCTCTTTGTTATTCAACGGACGCAAGGTTTTATTGTACGAGAAGTTATTCTCGTCGCTAAATGCAATGACAGTAGGAGCAAACTGCTCAATAAGAGTGCTTATTTGTTTTTAAAAGGTAGCCAGTTTTCTTCCACCGACCTTAAAGGACACATGCAAAAGAAAAAAACATTTTTTTAAAAACAGCCTGGATGCGAAAAGATTGCCATAAAATAAATTTAAAACAAACAAAAAAAAAAGTTTAGAGCAAAAATATGTTAGGCGCACAGGTTTATCGCGTGCTGCTTGTGCTCTTTCAGGAGCTTCCTTTGGGCTCTAAAAGTTACTTATTAATCTTTGTTTATTTGTTGTACTTCATACAAAGATGAATAAGCAACTTTTAGACCCTATATGTAGCTCTTGAAAGAGCACAAGCACCACGTGACCGTAGCTGCCACTTTTCTGCGGGTTCCCACGGGCCCCAACTACAAATTCGTTTCACGCCAAAAAAATATCTTAAAATTTTTTTTTTCATTGAAAATTTTGTTTCTTGACATTTTTTTTTTGTCTAGGCTTTTAAAAAAAATGTTTGTTTTCTTTGCGTGTGTCTTACAACAAAAAAATGTCGGCATAGGTTTGGTAAAACAAAGTTAGGTGCTGATTTATTGCCACGTAATCAGCTTTGTTGTAGTCGTGGATTGTTTTAATCGTGGGAATTCGCCTGAGGACAGGAACAGATAACTCAATAAGCAGGGTATTGTGGTCACTTAAACCAGAAACACAGTTCACAGTTTCTGTAAGTTCTGGAGAGCCAGTGAGGACAAGATCAAAAATGCTATCACCACGAGCAGGCCGATCAACAACTTGAATGAGGTCGAAGTTCAAGCAGTTATCGAAAAATTCTTTAGCGACATTCGACCCGCTTATCGTATAATTAACCCAGTCGATGCTTGGAAAATTAAAGTTACCAAGGATTAGAAAATGTACTTTTGGGTAAAGGCCCTGAATTCGAAGCAAAACAGAGTACAGATTAGCACAATTATCAACCCTGATTTGGTGCCCAATAACATGCGCCGATTATCGTTTGCCTAAATGCCCATGTAATGTAAACAAACGTAGCCTCTAGCTCAGGGCAGTTTCCAACACAAAATGACGAAACACATTTTTTTTTATTGCGCTAGGCACTCCCCTTTCTTGTTGCTCAAGCCTATCAGATCAATAAACATCACACTGCAATTCATGAAAAAAAAAATTTCGCTGTTGTTTATTGTGGGTTTTAGCTTAGATTCCGTTAGAATGTCAGTGCTAGAGTTGTTATCACAAGTGAATGTACTTAACTTATCCCGCATAGGCGCGACATTGATATATTAGTAAATGTAACAATGTAGTTCAAACATTTTAACTGCTTCGCGTGCACAGCTGGGCAAAAGGTATCTAGGGACTTCAGTAACAGAGTCGGAAGTAACGTCATATTTACAGCATTCATTATTGATATGCCGCTTACGAAAGCAGATCTTGAATGTTCCATTCTGCGATCGAGCGAACAAAAACAGTTTTATTTGAGCGAAGCGGACAGGCTCCTATAAGTCTTCCCTTATGGCATACTCAGAATCCTTTAGTTTAAGGTAGATAGAATATGTTTGTGCCATAAAATTGGATATTTAGTGCCCAACGTCCATCAGCTGCTGTTTATTTATTTTTTTTTACCAGAATTTTTATACATTCGATTTTTTGTTTCGTGCGAGATGCATATTCTGTACCAGGCACATACTCTGCCCTTATAATAATCTCATTCGCAGCACACTTTGAAAAATTCCTACAAATAAAATCACTATTAGATATTCGGCTTTTGTTCCTTAATTCGATTCGGTATTCGATTCAATAACTACTATTCGGTATTTGCACACCCCTACTTTCCAAGCCTACGTGATCGCTCGGCGTCATTCAGGTCAACCTTAATTTCCAGCTGTCGTTCACAAAATCTGAAACTGGCTGCCTCCGATTGACTCAAAGTTTCAGTTTGCACATCAGTGATACCAAAGAACAGTAAGTTTGATCTCCGAAGCCTCTTTTCGGCCTCAGCGCACCTTGCGTTATCTTGTGATATGTGTGATGCAACGTTGAGGGAAACTTCCGGGTTGCTTGCACTCCCTTCCAAAGACATCCTCATAGAGTTCCAGTCGGCTTCTATTGCCGCTACCGTTTTTTAAGGCTCCTTATTTTCACATCCGTCGTTGATTGGGCGTCCTGAAGCCCCTTACTTTCCGGAAGCATGTGACTTTGGTCAATCTCAATTTTACCTACAATGTTCAGAATGTCGGCCACCTGGGATTCCACACTGTCTGGACCGGGGTTGGTTTCAATGACCCCAGGCATTTGCAGAGTTAGTAACGCTCGGTAAACAGCATGCACCAAGAACACTGACGGCGACGACATTCAAGAACGTCGTAGGGGGCATGTCATCGCGATCAAACAGACGTCACGACTCTGGTAGCAGCGAAAATTGGGAATGTAAAAAACCTGAACAACGAAGAGAAGGGTTTACATTGTTGCTTCTATTGCGATGCCATGCCCCGACTGGCCCCGCTGACTGGCAAGCTGAAGTAGCCGTGTGTCCAGATAGCCGTCTGCTGACGTCCCCGGTTGCCAGACGCCCATTGTTGTCCAAGTTTAGTGGCTCGGTTTTGGTACCACCGGGAAAGTCACTTGCCATGGCGATCCAAAGGCCGTTGCAGTCCACATGATCTCCGCGAAGATGAGCGGGCGAGATTGATGTGTATGCAGATGTCAGCATCATGTGAATGACAAAGAGAAGGGTCGACATCATTGTTTCCAGCGCAATGCCATGCCCCGTTTTACTGCGTGACTCGCAGTGTGACTTATAGGCCGAAAAACATGGTATCTGTAAAATTACAATTTCAGCCGAAAAATTTTATGATATGTCTACAAACTGGCTTCTCTGATCTGGCGTGGTAGCTGGCCTGTCTTCTGCTGCAGTTGGTTTCATGCACGGCCTGTGGTTCCCTCTTCCAGGCTCTGGTGCACGTGTCTACTGCCTACTGCAACTGTGATAAGCCGGAGGTGGACGAGGTCATCTACCCACCGCCTGTGGACCCGAAGAAGATCATAGACGCAGCTCAGTGAGTGCCTCTTCGCCCGAAGCCAGTGACCGAGCTTCCTAACGTGCCGCAGCGTGGAGCGTGCGGAGCGAAAACTCTCACGTCGCTCTACTTGTGTTGTCACGTGATACGAGCTGTGGAAATAGCTCTGATCTGCTCGAGTCAAATTTGGAACACAGCCAACGTAACATAGTCAAACCTTGCCGCCGCTGCTGCCAGAAAAGCGGGATCCCCTTTCCTCTACGTGGGTGAGCCGGGTCAACAGGCCAAGAAACTCTGTTTGCCGCAGGAACGATCCCTCCAGGGCGGTGTCAGGTTGTCGACCTGACAGTGGCTAAATGGGACCCCTTGAGCTCCGGGAAGTCCTCACTCTCAAATAGGGTTCCCTGTTTTGGGATGAATACGAAAAAGTCGAAAAACACCTGCTGGTAAATTTTATGCCAATTCGGATTTATTCGGAAAGCTCTGAATTTTGAGGTCCCAACAACACAATAAAAAACAAAAAAGAGTGTTTAGAGATAAGTTTCGTAAAAGCACTGGGTCTGTGGTCCTGAGGAGGTGCCTCTTAGTTTCCTTTGAAATCTCGAACTACTGACAAAAGGGGTTTGCCTTTGTGAAGGTTCCTTCAAGGCAACGGGTCATGGTTCCCAGGTTTTTTCTTTTCTTTTTGAATTTTCAAAATATAAGAACACAGTAAAATAAACTCCATATTTCAAACAATCGGGAATCTAACAAACATGAACTCCTATAAACCCCAAATTGTTTTGCAAAAAATAAACTCCGAAAAGCACCCTCAGCGTTTCACGGAAAATAAACTTTGAAAACACGAAATCCTACTCATAACGTATAGGCTTAGTCAGTGTAAAGTCGCAATGAATGTTTCAGTATTTCTACGAGGCGACACGTACATGCCGACTAACTTGGGACCGGATGACACGTGCTATGGGGTAGCTTTCCTCGAGCGATTGCTTTTTTTTCTCGAGGGGGGCCAGGGCCCTCTGGCTGCGTGCCCGGTGTCACAATTACACGTCACATAACCACGTTATGCGTGGTCACGGTGTCGGGTGGTGCGACGAGGCACTGTGCCACACAACATGACGTTACATGACACCGAGTCATGTGACACGACACAGACTGACATTGCGCCGTATAACATGTCGTGACACTGCCACACGACGTGTGACACCGCGACTCGACACCGGGATGTCACGTGGCGTGGCAGCGTGGAGTCCCACGAAACTTTGCTGCTCAGATTTACGCATATATCGCGAACGCATCCTGCATACAATATGTTTAGACAATAGCCCGAAGGCAGGCCCCAATTTTTTTTCCAAATCTTACGCTGTCATTGTGGGCTATGTGCCGTCCTCTCGGGAAAAGGCGTTGGGAGGCAGGCTGCGATTGGGCGCTCTGGTTGGAGCTAGCATCCCTCCCTTAGGTGGATGGACGACAAGATGATGGACACGATGAGCGGCTTCCTGCTGGGGCAGCGCCCCAACACCTACACGCTCACCAAGGCCCTGGCCGAATCCCTGGTGCTGGACGAGCGGGAGCGACTCCCCGTGGCCATCGTGAGGCCCTCCATCGTCACCGCCTCCTGGAGGGAGCCCTTCCCGGTGAGTCCCTTTCCTCCTCTTGCGAAGCCTCTCCCTCGATCAATCGACGAATCAATCAATAATTTGATTCAGTCTTTCGCGGCGACCCTCGTAGCCATTCATTGCCGGAATCTATTGTCTCCATCTGTGGCTGGTGGGTTGTACAATTATATTTTTTTTCCCACGTTAGATTAAACCTCGACTAATTTCCTCGTGTGTAGTCGCACATGTCGGTGCGGTGGCGGTCGGATATCGTAGCCACTGAGCTACGAGCACAGCCAATCCAGGGTGTAATTATTTTTGGAAGTGTCTACATCCACGTGGGGATGTAGCCAAGACGGGAAGAGATAAGGCTCCATGCACGCACTACCGTCACTTCCGGTGTAGATGTACCCCCCCCCCCGACTTCCGGTCTGTGTGTGCGCTACAGCTACAAGTGCAAGCGGGTAGTTTGCAGAAATCCAGACTGTGCGAGCATGCACGCAAGTCAAGGACGTACGGAGTGGTGGGCTCGCACTTGTGCCCCTTCGATGCACATAAGCTCACACTAAAACGCCTCAAACCAAGCCAACCACACACACGACGAAGCCTCACCGCTTGGCAGCGGTGCACACATGGGCAAAGGCCCTGGGTGCCGCACCCGCACCAAGCTAACCACGCTTACACACACAGAGGGCACGCACGCCGCCCACACGTGTGTGTGACTCCTGCACAACATAACTATGAAGATATATATTGTAATTTCTGAGCCTTTCTGTGAGCGTTTCGAGGTATGTGGACGAGCGAGTGCTCCGAATCTCGAAGCTGCGAAGCTCGGGGATTTTGCTTGTGTACGAATCAACAAGCTGTAGCAACCAATCAGTATGCATACATCAAGCTCGCGCCTTTACATTCGTGTTGTTGATCAGTGAGTTTTTTTTTTTTTCGTGCGTCCATAGACGAAATATAACTTTTTGCAATTACTGTTTTTCTCAATACGCCTGAGTGCGCAAGGTAAAACTCGGGGGCGCCATTGAAAAGCTCAGATTTAACACTTCTTATCTCTTATCTGTACTGAACCGCAGCACTGCACGAAATGAAGTCCCCACCCGCTTGCATTCCACTAATATTCAACATCACGTATGCGCATAAAGTTGTCCTGCCAATCATATAGGCACATTCGCACATACAAACCATTTTAAGAAAGTAAAACTTGAGCACCTGTGTGAAGATCGAATGTCGCACCGTTCGCCGGAAGTGTGCCGGACGGGCATGAACCCCGATGTGGTGCGCCAAACTAACGAAATTATTCAAAGTGCATTTGATGGTTACTAATGGCCACATTGTCTGTCGTGTGTTTGCTTTCTTCCTGACTGAGTATGCCGAGATAATTTTAGACGGACCGTTCGGGCGCAAATCTTGGCCGTCCGTAAAAGCTCGCCCAAAACGGCTTAGCCGGGAGTAGGAGACGCTTGTTAGGGCCTCTGTCGTAGCTAGCCGATCTCAGCGTTTGCGAAAGCTTAATCTTCGATCAGCATAAAATTTGAGTCGGAGATATATGATGACACGAGGAAGACATTATAGTAACTTTTGTGCGGTAGTGAGGTCGAGTTTATTACGTTTCTTTAAAAGCACATGCGTCAACGTTGGGCTCAACTTTGGTACTCCTTTGATGATGCGGCTTGCTTCTCGCTCAATAAAGTAACAAGAAGCGGACGTTTGGCAAACAAAATATCAAAATGTGTGTAAGGCTCAAGGTGACCAAATTCCAGTTGTAGTTCACCGGTACTAGACGAGATTATTGAAAGTGAGCTCAAAGATGCACTCGTGGGGTGGGGTCTTACTACGTTTGCATACGCACGTCTTAGTAAGTTTGCATACGCACGCACAATATCCGGTGTTTCGGGATCCAAGGAAAGTGCCCCGGTCTTCATTTTGTAATGCTCGAGAATGAGTGTAGTGTGCATTCGTAAGAAGTCAGATAATTGAAAATGCAAGCAGCGCGTTCGGTCGCGGCGTGATAGCAGGAGATGAAGCTGCCCAGTTGAAACCGAAACTGAGTGGGCAACTAGTTCCCAAAGTGCATTGCGTGGTATTTCGCCGCAATGGGGCACGTCGGTTTTGGAAGAAGTCAATTGAGGTGGACGTTGAAGTCGCCGGTTACGACGAGCAAAACATTGTCGCGGTGCGAAGCATGGAATCAGCAAAGCGTGAAATCGGTAGAATGTGTGTTGTGGGTTGGCCATGTCGAAGGGTTTTGGCCGCTGGGGCTGCCGAAGGCAGTTGTTCCCTCCGCGCTCGCTCCAAGGGCGGTCTACGTCCTTGGCTTGGTGGTGTTATTAGGAAGAGTCTGCGGCAGTGATGATGCCAGCGAAGGCGCAGGTTTCCTCGGTGTTGCCGAGCCGTAAAGGGAGGGTGCAAGGTTGACGTTAGTTGACGAGGGGAAAAGGGGGGCGCATAACCTTCCTTTTTTACCCAACTTCTCTCTCCTTATGCCATGAAGGGAGAGAATAAGGGTTTTTCCTTCCGCCGCGACGACAGATGGCAGCGAACGCCGACATCTCTGCAAGGTGTCGCCCATCAAGTATTTTGTTAGGATTGCGCAACCGGTGCCGTGTAATCTTGCTGATTGTAACACCAGCCCTTTGCTTGTTCTTTTAGGGTTGGGTGGACAACTACAACGGCTTTACTGGCATCATTGTTTCGGTGAGTACTGCCGCACCGCAGCTTAGGACGGCACCCATTGATGTCTAGCGTTCTGGCTCAAGGTTCTCAGACCCCTACCTTCCTGAGCCTGAGCGCGTGTTGAGCAGCTTTCATTGTGTCGTCATATTTCGGACATACGAAGTGACGTGAAGATCACCAGTAAATCTTCCTTTGCCTCCTTCCAGTGCGGCCTTGGGATCTTGCGGTCCGTGCTCGTGGACCGGGACTGCATAGCAGACGTGATTCCCGTGGACGTGGTTGCCAACATGCTCATCTCGGTCGCCTGGCACACGTCCGTCACCAGGTAGGGCTCGCCCAGGCCAGACAAAGTTTTCGCACAACTCGTACCTAGAAATTGGCTTCAATTAACAGCAGCCACCGACTTTGAATGATCAGAAAAAGCGGCTGCTCGCATCTCGCCTCTCGAAAGGATGCAGCCGTTGTGCGCATCTCGCTGTCAGATAGGATGCGGCAGTTGTGCAAGGTCAACTCTAGAGAGGATGCAGCAGTTCACGCGCGTCACCTCTAGAGGGGAGTTGCACACACGTCGCCTCTAGAGAGGATACGGCATCTCTGTGCATGTCACCCCTAGAGAGGATGCAGAAGTTTCATGCACGTCGCGTCCGAAATGGAATGCAGCAGTTCGCGCATGTCGCGTCTCGAGAGAACGCAACAGTTGTGCGAATGTAACTTCTCGAGGGGATGTGGCAGTTGCGGGTGTGTTCCTCGCAGGCCGGAGCACGTGCGTGTGTACAACTGCACGAGCGGCACTCTGCAACGCCAGACGTGGGGCGACGTGACGACGACGATGCACGAGCTCATCCTGAGCCACCCCCTGCCGCACGTAATGCGCTACCCGAGCGTGGGGCTCACGCGGAGCCGGCTCTGTCACTCCGTCAGCCTGCTCTGCCTACACTACCTGCCGGCGCTGGCGCTCGACCTCGGGCTGCAGCTCGTGGGACGCAAGCCAAGGTGGGGAGTCACTCGTTTATTTGCCGTATGTTCCGGTCCGCGCCCTGTCCGCGGGAATAAATTTTGGGTCAGAAAATAAGAGTTTTTTTCTTAGAAAATAGTTTATACTTGGTGCCTACTCTGCACGCAAAAATGCTCATACACACGCGAAAAGCACGAAAAAACAAACAATGTGAGGCTTGTTGACAGCGCAAGGCGCACTCACGACTGAAATTTGGTTAGATAAAACACTGACTTGACTACCATTTACAAAAAATGAATGCATTGTTTCTAGCATGCCCACTCTCGCTCCCTCGTCAATCGAGGTCAAGGAACGCCTTGTGTTGTTGTCAATCTTTTGTCTGTTCCTATTTTTTAGCACTTTTACTACGTAACGAACCAACTAGCCCAAATCACCGTTTTGTTGCATCTCGTACACAGCATGCCTTGACAAAGGGCTGCTTTGGTTAACTCGCAAAGAAGCTTTTATCATACATAAATCATCTTTAACATACTGTGTCATCCACAAAATTCGTCACGTCTGGTAGTGGCGGATCTAGAAGAATCAAATCCTTGTATAGTCTGCACCGCTTAAACTTTTTGCTTTTAAATATGAATTGTCTGTGGAATAGTCAGGAAAATATGTTATTTATTTATTTGCAGTAATCCCTCGTTATATCGAAGTTATACCAAAAATTCGATATAAGTGGTAATTCTATAAAAGCGATACAGCCAAAAAAACAGTGCTAGCTGCCTTGAAGGTGGGATAGGAACACAGCGCAGCACTCTGACTGTACATATATTTAATCTAACAAACCTTGGTTAGGAACATCTCGCGGCAGCTTTACCGAGTAAAAAAATGACTAAGTCGGTTTGCCGTTAATTTCACCCGGGCATCAGTTCTCTTTGAACTGCTCCAGGCGTCGCAAGAATGCTGTCACCGCCACTGCACTCCCCTTTGTTTTGAAGCAGCCGTAGGATGTTTCGCATCTCCGCAGTCGTCGGCGTTTCCCAAGGTGCCTCTCCGATGTTGCTTCGTGTCCACCCTGGCCGCATGTATGGTCTATGATTACAGCATTCGTGGCAGGTGCAACAACGGGAGCGTCCGCATCAAAAAGCTCGAACGAATCCAAGTTATCCTCGGTGGCTTTGCCAACATGTTTTCACACACTGCTGTAGAGATTGTTGCAGCTATGGATATTGTGCGCCGGCTCGGCAAGCGGGCTTGCAAGGGAAAATCCGATGTGCGCAAAGCAGTTGGCGATCTTTCATCTTCGGGTGACGGGCTCGCTTTCTCCTGCATGAGAAACTTCTCGAACCCGTCCAATGTGCCTTGCTTGTTCTACAAAATGGTGGGCAATGTCGAACAGCCGGTGCTGGAATGTCGAATTCCTTGGTGATTTCGGACTTGAGCCGGCCCCTTTCCCCAACCTCGCAGATCTAAGCGACTTTTGGTGAACACTCCTAATCTCCCATACGATGCATATGTGTGTGTAGTACGCCGCAGGCGCGCGCGTCGGGGGCTCCCAAAGGGGTGATCTCCGGGCTCCATCGCTCTTTTGACCCGATTCCAACGGGAGTCTGGCAGCGTCGGTTGCGGGCGTCGTGACTAGCGTCAGAACGTTGACGCTGCTACCTGCCCCCGTCTCCACGTCGGCGCATCGGAAGTGGCGCTCTGCCTGTTCTGCTTTCTCTGCCCTCTGTCACCCGTTTATTCTGGTTCCCCAGCTTGCTGTTTGCCCTAAAGAAAGGGGTGGGAACGCAAAGGTCTCTGTGTGCCTCCATATAGGCTCGCAAGCTTTCGGCACCTCGGCCTTCGTAATAAGTGTGGTCGGCTGCCGATAGACTTAGAATAATCCGGTTAAAAATCCCTGCATTTTGGTTGGGACCACTTTGAACTTTGATAAAAGCCATAATTCGAAAAAAGCGATTTCGTTATAACGAGGAATTAATGTATCTACACGCTCCCTCAGTGCCTTCGGGGCACTACAGTAGGGAGTGGTTGGTTTGTGCAAGGCATAACTTGGCGTTATTGGTGATGGCGACAATGTCATTGGGAAGGCCAATTCACGCATCCGACCATCAGTTCTCATACTGTGTTCCTAAAAAGGCAGGTGTCACCCAGAGTGCAATTGTGGACGTGATTGTACTCGGGTGTACAGCTGCGAAAAAAATCAAACAGCCGCTGAAATGCCACTCGCTCACACAATAGCTTCAATGATAATTGAGCTTTCTTCCATTAGGTAGCACTGGAGGGCTTCTGAGCCACATGGTCACCTGGGCTCTTTCATTATATGTTGTTCGTGGCTGTACCCTCGTGCTTGCCTTCAGCTCCCAAATTTCCTCGAACGTCCCTGAACCCTCGAGTAAAGTGTACTTACACTTTAAGCGCCATTTGAGCAGGTCTGAAACTCTCGCTTATACACAACTATAAGCCAAGCGTTCTCTAATATGCACATTGCCATTGACGAAGTGTGCAGACTTCTGTGCCGTTCCGTTGCATTTGTTGCATGAATGCCGAAACCCAAAGGAATTTTTCGGCTGCCATTCGAGGCAGATGGGGGCTCCTCGTGGTTTGAAACGTTTCAGAAAACCTACCTCAACCCGTACTTCGTTTCACCTCGCGACGGACCGCAGCAGATACGATGAGCCATCCCAACCGATTCGACGCCACGAACGCATGTCACGTGACTACGTGCCCCACGTGTGTCTGCGTCTTCTTTGCGGGTCACGCGATGCTCGGACGCCATTGGACTAGCTCCCTTGGGTCGTGGCATCCACTGCGGTCCGTTGTAAGGCAAGGCAGAGTGTTGGCGATTTTCGCAACATGTTTTCGCGGCTTCGTCTTTAGACTGCAAGGTGCCGCGTATATCTAATTCGCTCAAGGAGACTGGCGAGCGAACCTGCCACCTGAGCTTTCTGTTCTAGCTGCTAGGTGCTGTCAATTTTGCTGTAGTCAATAGTATAACTAGAGGGCTGAAGCAGAGTATTGTGTTGCTTCTGTTGTCGCTGCCAAGTCCTCAATGGTGTAGAAGAGGCCACTTGCCTGAAAATTGCACCGGAGCACTGTGGGGAAGCGTCCTCAAAGCCTGACAAATGAGCAGAAACGAGGAAGCTTACTCTCCACTCTCAATTTCCTCCTCACCGTTTTTATCGCAAGAGGAAAGAAGAAAAGAACCCCTTCTTTTTACGTCGCTGTTCAGGGTTAGAAAACATTAGTCTAGTGGTCAGTTAGTAATCATACAAAAAAATGCTGAAGCCGCACCCTCTTTCTTCCCCTCTTATTCCTCGGGCTTAAAGGGCAAGTCCGGCCAAAACTCAAAATGAAATAAATTACTAGTATCGCTGTAGTGACACAAAATTTGACCCCAGCCAAAATATTACATCCGGGGGACGCCGCATTCTCAACTAATGCCATAATAAAAATGCGACCCGCCGCCAGCCGCTGCTCCTTAGCGGACGGCCAGCGGGTTGCCGATCGCTAAAGCAACATTGGGCCGTGACGTCAGTATCATTCTTTTTTTTCCTCTAGTCCGGGCGTTGCACGTAGTGCGCTTCTTTAAGCCGCTACCGCCGCTACTTCGGCTTGTGATTGGTGTGTTTAGCCGTTGCTTTTATCTGTAGCCAGTGTAGCTTCGGTATAGCCTTTTGTTTATTTGCTTGTGAGGACTCCAAGACTCGTTTTAGCGAGCAACTCAGTGCGCTCAAGACTGCCCGGCTGTTCCTCAAAAGATGCCGAGTGCAACTTGTAGCACTGTGGGCTGCTCAAACAACCCGCTGCGCATTCCGGAGGTGCTTTTTCACAAGTTTCCAACGGACCGGAAATTGGAGAAGGTGTGGGTGAACGCTGTTCGACGAATGGACTTTGGACTTCGGCTTTTATGCGCCCGAGGAAAAAAAAGAAAGAAAAAAACAGACTTGTACAGCCCAGCACACATGTGTTCGGGCGCCGCGGCCCACGCCGGAGAGCCTCAAAGCTTCATGTTTGGGACTGACCCACAGCGCGAAAGCGAGAGGGCCCCCAGTCTGTACGTCACTGGCAGCGTGGCGTAAAGCAACACCGCTCCATCCATGACAAGTGAGGCCTAGCGATGAGTACGGAAGAGCGCACGCACGGCGACAGTCGCCGAGTACGGCACCGAACGAGTTTACTCATTTTCCAATTGCTAGATTTTTGGTATACAAGCGACAAGTACAGCATAGCGCATGCACGGCGGCGGCCGTCAAGTACGGCACCGAACGAGTTCACGGGTTTTCCAGTTGCTTTTTTGGGTATACGCACTAACTGGATAATTACCACGTATACAGAATTAAAACAAGATCAGCTTACCTCCTATCTTTAGACGGCTAGCGCAGCAGAGGTAGGTGCCACTCGGCCTGCATACTCGTTGAACAAGAACGATCCTGACGTCACGTTCACATAGCGGCTGATTTCCAGTGTTGCCGGGGCCTCGAGCAGCTAGTTTCGGTTTTGTTGGCCACGCCCCAAACAAAACTTTGAGGAGTCGATATCTTTAAAACTAAGCACAGTAACGAGAAAAAAATTGCACCTTGCAACTCAGGGACGCTGACTGCACTAAAAACAGTCATTAGCCCAAAATCGAAAGTATGAACCGGAGTTGCCCTTTAAGTACCGACGGTATTGTGGATGCTATGTGCTCGTCGGACCTATCTTTCTCCACGTGGTGACACCCGCACCCATGCCTACGCGCAGAGAACGGGGTCAGGAAGCGGGATGAAAGGAAGTGGTTGAATGGTCCGGCCTGCACATACGTAGCTCTTACCGCACCGTCAGCTTTGGGCTCAACCAACACCACCTAGACAGAAGACCTCCACACGCGTCATCATAGTCAGATCGATCGAGGCGAGAGATTGGGCACGAGTGCTGCATCAATGTTCGGCTGCGGCTCGTGGCCAATCAGCGCGTCGAAGGTCGGGCTTGGGTCCAATAGCCAACCGAGCGCGATCCGACTGTGATGACGTTTCATAGAGGAAGAGGAAACCATGTGGACGCCTTCTGT